TGGAGTTTTGGAATGCAAAGTGATTTAACCATCAAAAGATTTTGTAATTCATCATTTTAAGTAAGTATCTTGACCCAAAATTCATGTTAAAGAATGTTGCGAATTCTTACAGGTAGAATATACAGTATCTAATAGGGATAAATGGCTCCAACTGTTTATAAATCTTAGCTCAAACAATGATTGGAATGTGTTATCTGCTCTATTTTATCTATTATCTTTTTCAGAACTTGCTAAATATATTTTACGGAAATCATGCTGTCACCCCTGGTTTGTTTAAGTTTACTTTGCGTGTTATTTATTCAGTGAACAATCCGAAAAAGTCTGGCCCAACATTGAATGAAACATTTCTTGGTTTGCTCTATCCAACTGAAAACTTCAAAGTGTAAGGACATTCATGTGCTTAACTTCCTATTAAGTTTACTGATGAAAATCGGATAGAGAGCACAGAAGTATAGGGTGAATCTCATACCTTCAATTATGGAAGGTGAAAATATTTTGTGGTTATAACTTTCATCTTTCCTCTTGCAAATGCCCTCAGATCTCATTGTCTGCTTGTTATCAGGTATGGTTATTTGACTAACACCAAGGTGAAGTTCATAATGGTGTTAACAGATATGGACGTCCGAGATGCAGATGTGAGAAATGTAAGCATTACAAAGCACATATGGAAGTTTCTGTTTGGTTGATTGTTAAACTTTGATGTAGTCTATCGTGAATTTATTGTTCTTTTCCACATTATTACTTAAGTTTATCGACAGTGTAGTGGGTATATTAAGATTCATATATAAATCCCACGTAGAGTCCTGCGAAAATTGCTGGGATTAATTTAAATTTCGAGGTTGATCCCCATTTTTTGGTTTGGTAACCATAGTTTGCTATGAAATAACAAAAATGCGGATGCCTTAATCACATCACTTACTAGAGTTTTTCTCTTGCTATCTCATTGTAGTCAGGCCCTTGGCCAATATCGCATCAGATTTTTGGAGTGAAATCTGATCCCAATGACATAAAACTCATAGTTGTGAAGCGCACAATTTTTACGAGTCCTAAACTCAACTTGTTTTGCAACTGGAGGATAGCTTCATATTATCTTCAACTCTAGAGTTCCTTGTATAAAGTTTCATATATAGATGCAAACATACGTTTTCTGCAGTAGTTTGTGTTGCTATTTATGATTGTCTATGGATACACTTCAGTCTTAAAATTTGGTAGCTAACTCTCCTTCCGTGTTCTTGATAATGTTAGTTTTTCAGGAGGTTCCATGCTTCTTACGTTGATGCAGTTTCAAATCCGTTTCGTGTTCCAGGCAAGAAAATAACTTCCCGAACTCTTGCTGAAGAAGTCATCACGATTGTCAAGTCGTTCAGTTTGAATTTAGCTGGCTGAAGAACAATTGTTGCTCACACTTCTATGTTTTAAGCGTTTTATTTTGTTTCGTTTCCTTGTAAGGTGGCGTACCTATAGTCGTACATATAACTGGATTTTGGAGCTAATGTATTTCATCTGTTCAATCTCATTGCTTGAATATCTTACTTCACAAGATGAGTAGAATTTGTAGAATTTACCATGTTTTGAAGTGAAAAGGAAACTATTCACCTGGTACAGATCATTGAATTTTAAAAACGCTGCCTACGCATGTGGGATCACTCAAATGACAAACCAAGCAAGAGAAATTCAATTAAAACTTTGCAAGCTCAGAAAGGAGACTTCTTAGAGGTAAACAAATCAAGAGGACATGATTCCACAGTTAATACAAAAGGGTTAAACAATTACTCGGACTTAAATGAGAAAACTCATATAACAATGGAAAACAAAGTCGGTCTTTGAGAAAATTCAAAATTCGTCATCGTCATCCTCAGCTATGTGTTTGGCAAGCTCTTGCTCTTGCTGCTGTCTCTCTCTTCTCTTCTCTGCAATTTCCTTTTCTTTGTGGGAATTAGGTGGAAATCGAAGGGCACGCACTGCCTCGTTATGCATATTCAGGCAGAAAGCAATCCTCGAGTTGAAAGCAACTTGAGGCTCATTTGTAGAGTATATATCCCCAGTCTCCTTTGACACCATCCACCCATTAGCGTGATCTAATGTGGCATCAATTGCACCATCTCGAATTGCTTTGGCTACAATACTCTCAGCATCAGCTACAGGGTTCGGAGAATCCAATCTCAGCTTTTTTGCCACATCAGCTAGTGAGATCCGGGAGTATGAGATACTGATGTTGCGGAGCCCAGTCCTAATGACATTATGACGCAGCCTAACAATTAGATTGTCAGTCCGGTCTGTGCTGAAGGTATTGGAGAACTTGTCGGCCACTGTTTTGAACAACTCCAAGTCTCCAATTCGAACAGCCTGAAAAGCCACATGTAAGAACAAATCAATTGCATATGCTTAGAATATAACAAATTGCTTTCTTTCAGAAAATATTATCCAGTAGTAAGCCAATATGCAGGATCTTTTCTAGAATAAGATGGTGGAAGCATTTACCATAGAAGCAAGTTTGAACGAAGGCAAAAATGAGAAGACCAAGGCTTGCATCAAACAAAAAGACGAGAAAAAATTTATAATTAATTGTCTTTACTTACATTTGTAAGTTCGAAGTATGGCCTCAAAGCCTTTTCCATTCCTTTCTGCATAAAAATAGTTCTTTCGGGAATCTCTCCAAGCAATAACCTGACAATTACAGCCCACTTGTTGCATATAACTCCGAATCCAAGAGCAGCATCAGGTGCTTTCCTGGCGGCTTGGAGGAGGGACTCTTTAGCATCAGTATATTCCAACTGAATTGTCCTAATTTTTCCAAGGTAAAAAAGGTATCTGCAAAACTGGAAAGGATACAAGCCACAGTGAGAACCATCAGACGGCAGTAAAAAATAAAACATCTTGGTACGCAAATTCTTACTCTAGCGTCACCAGAGAAAAAAGTATGATGAGAAACAAAATAATGAATAAATTATGACACCCTTGAACAAAAAACGCAAAAGATCATTTTTCTGATAATAATAAAAGTGAGAGAAGCAGTAAAAAGATATTTAATTCTATTTACAGTCAATGATTGGAAATCTAAACTTACGTGGAATGGAAGTACAGTTGTTATTCATGTAAATAGTTTTGCAACTGCCATCAACAGTATCCTTGTGATATTTCATGTAGATTATTGCATATATTATGCTCAGCTTGTGTGTGTTACATTTTACTAACTTGATCCTGCTGCTATTTCTTTATGACTGGCTCTATCTATCTATCTACACACACACACACACACACACACACACACACAGAGGACAATTTTCCTTTTTGTACATAAACAGGATATTTGATATTTTTGTTCCATGTCTTCTCTTTGTTTTAGCATTACAAACTCCATCTGATGTTCAGGTCTAACTGATAACTCTATTAGAAGGCCAAATGAACTTGGATCAAACATGATTCCCCTCTCGAAAAAAAAAAAAAAGAGTCGCTAAATTTATAGGAAATTGATAGTTTGGAATCATATGCACGAATACTCCCCAACAAATAGAAGCAAAACAAGAATGAATTAATATATGCGTAAAATTAATTGATATAGTATTGATCATTGAGAATTACCTGCTGGTTTGAATGAGCTTCAAACCGCGGAGCCTTTGACCTCAGTTTTTCAGCTTGATCGTATAAGTTGTAATGCAGGTAATTCCTCAGTAACAGATTGAGAAGTGTTTCCTGCCGTATACCATTGTCAAGCAAGAGAATAAGTCCAACCATAAATACAAACTAATTGCACATGTGATCAGCAACAAACCTGTCCCAACTCGTCATGACGCAATGTTGCTGTCCGGTGTAATGCCAACAGATTACTGGTAATAAATGAGTCTCCATTAGATGTAAAGACCATAGAAGAGAATACCAATACGATATTGCTAAAAATGGGGAAACAACATTCAACTCCAGTTGCTCCGTCAGCTCATGTTTGTTCAGAACATTTTGTAAGCACGCATCATCCTCAGGCTTTAGTTCAAAGAAAGAGCCAACAGGAATACAAGTTTATAACATACCCCCGAATTTCAGCAAGATCACCAGTAAGTTCATAACTCAGAGAGTAGTAAAAGTAGAGTCTGGATGCTAGAATATCAACAGTTCGCCTATTCAGGTTCTTTAGACGTGCAATGCTTGCCGAAGAACAGGCCTTGGCCTGAAGAAAACAAAGAAAACACAAAGATAATTTTTTAGACGTTACAAACATCATTAGAAAATTCATGTAAGAAAACTAATCAGTTGCCTTACCTCACTGTATCTCTTCTGATCTATCAGAAATATTAGAACAAGCCAACAGCAATAGATTTCAAGTTCTGGTAAAGAGTGCTTTGCAGGAGCTTGAGTTGCAGATGTTGCAGTGTCAAGTTCCATATCCTGCTCATCCTCCTACAAGAAACAATATATCTGGTAAAACAGGGCAACCATATCTCCTTACCATATCATTTTCATACGTCAACTAATGTACAGGTTACTATCTCGTGATAAAAACAGGAATTTTGATATGAAATGCAACCTAAAGTCATTTTCCTAGAGCCACTTACCCTACTACTTTTCCAGCACCATACTGTTAATATATTCCAGATGATGATTATGCTTCATAAAAAAATTAAAAAATACAACAGAACTAAACAGGTCTCAAGAAAATTGTATTAATTTATAACCTATGTTTATG